AGTCCTAGAAAAGCTCGCTGTGCTTTTGGGCATTTGATTCGATTAACGGCAATTTAAGTGCCAAAATTTGTCGGGGTAATTCGAAATGTCGATGGGAAAGGAAACGGAACTTTGGGCCTTTTCCTCTTCCCTTTTGTTTTTTTAGAACTCTAAGCTAGAGACATTAGCTTTACTCACTGACTACAATTAGCATATTCGCTGATTGCGAATTTCCTGGTAATCTCAATTGAAAGTATTTAAATAGGATAAAAGTACCCGCCAAGTGTGGCACCTGAATTGAATGAATTCTTCCCGCATTCATCGAATGCTTTCCCAGGGCTCGACATTCTAATGAATCAGAACTCCCATCATCTATCCTTATTGCCATACTCTTGTCCCGGGTTTTCTGACTTTGGCAAATGCATCTTCAGCACTGACTGGCTAAAAAATTGTTCATCATGTTCGTCTGCTGTCCATCCATCTAATGCACTTTTTTCCGAATGCCACTTGGCCCCAAATGCTGAATGCTGAATGCTGTTTGCGCTCTGGGGACTTAACTGCAAAATCATGCAGAAAATGCTCGAGCTCGGGGGATTGGGATTGGGATTGGGCTTGGGTTTGGATTGGATTGGGCTTAAACTGGCGAACAAAGCCACTTAACTGATGCGCTGACTAGCCTTGTAGGTTTATATAGTTTGTGGCTGGTAGTTGGTAGTTGGCGGACTCCAATCTTCGGCTCCATCTCGGACCCTGAGAGCCAAAAGGCTGGAAAATCTGTATCTGTGTCTGTGTCTGTATCTGTGTCTGTGTCTGCAAGTTGTTTACACGCCGCTCTCGAGTGCTTCCTAGGAAAATGACGACGACTCTGACTGCGACTGCGAGTGCGAGTGCAACTGCAGCCTGAAGTGGAGTGGCTGTGGTCCAGGTTGCATTCGGCTGATCATGCAGCTGGCTTAAATTTTGGACGGACGGGGTAGGACCCCGAGCTCCTTTCAATGCCTGCCACTTGTTGTCATCAATTTCTGGCTCTCTGCTTATCTGTTTATCCAGCGGGGCCACTTGCAGTTCGGTTGCACTTCGCTAGAAATAACAGTTTGGGAAAAACCCGAACCCAAAATATGAAAACCACGCGTATCAAGCATCCCTATTTGTTTTCGTTTCGATTCGTTGAAACCCAAACTTGTAGTTTTCTAATTAAAAAATTATTAAGAAAATAATAGCTGCTCTTTTCGTTCTCGTATTCTCTTTCTTCTAGTTTTTTTTTTTGAGCGACTCATTGTCACATAATTAACACTTGATATAGCAATTTGTTTACAGTTTTTAGGGCATTTTCCCAGCAGTTTTTCTTCTCTTATTTGGGAAAAATGTGCGAAAAACTATCGTATTTCTATTGTCGGATGGGGCAGGAAATGTGCAAGGATTCGTATCGGAAGTGCGTCCTTGCGAGGCACAATAATATCGCTAAAATATCTCATACAAATCTTACCCCTCGTACATTGTTTTCCGAAGGGCAAAGATTCTTATCACGACCGCTGCTATTTTTTGAGATTTTATTTTCTCTCGTTTTTCTTTATTCAGACTCTTTTGTGGTAATTATTTTTTGGCTTTCAAAATTGGTGCGATTGATTTACAGTCGGCGAGGACACGCGTGACAAGGACATTTGGCAACAAGGGTCACAAGTATACATTCTTTATATATAATTGTTTTATTTATGCATTTAAAGCTTTTGACAACCGATAAACTAACTGCAAATTCAACCAATCTATTAGGAAAGTGCTCATCAAACTTTTGCAATTGCAAAGCGACTTAAGTTAATTTGTATTACTTAATTACTTAATAAATGGAAATTGAGGCAAAACACTCTCCCACTCTCCGCTGCATTGTCTTTATTTTCTTAGGGCGACCCAATTAGGGAAACCCATTTGTCTGCAATTATTCGCCGTTAAGACAAAACCCATTTTTAAAGCGCAGGGGAAAATTGCCCATGACTAAGGCGGCAAGACAGCAACACAATGGCCAAGAAAAAGAGGCGCTGACAAGCAAATGGCTCACAAGGCGACTTACTCAAATGTGTGAAGACAAATAAAAGTACAGGGAAAATAAGAGGCATTCGAAAAAAAAGAAAGAAAAATAGTTTGCCTGCTTTACACGAAGATAGCGATACGGACACAAGGATACAACATACGGCAAGGACCTCTCGGGTAAATATTTATTAGAGCCAGAAGGCCGAGGTGAAAAGAGAGCTCCTCAATGGCCACTCAAATTAGGGCTAACAACGTGCAAGTAGCAATTTTGCCCGAGAAAAGAAAATTGAAAGGATGCTGCAGACCACACCCACACTCCCTCTCGATTTTCCGATGTTCCAGCTGCGGTTAACCACTCGAGTCGATGTATTTTGTACACAATTTGCCTCGAAAACTAACGCCCCGTGTCCTGCAGATCCAGGACATAGTAGCCGGGAAAGGACTCGGCGTTTGTTGCCTTTTTTACAGCTCGCAAGGAGCCTCGGGGTCTCAACTTCTGCTGTTGTGCAAACAAAGTGAGAATGGACCTTCGGCAAATAGACCACGATGGGCATGACCAACAAGAAGAAGTTGCAAAGGATGTGCCAGCATGCAGACAGAAAAATAAAGTTGTTAGATCAAGCATTTTCAATTGAAATTTTTGTTTTATGGATGTACGATTGCATCAGTTATTCAGTGAAATTATAATCCACTCTTTGGCTTCTGATTCGTTTTTAATAAAATGGAATTATGATTGGTAAAATAAAAATAGCTTCGACATAAAACAAAATTGTTTATTCAATTTTTTGGCTTATAAATATTATTAATGTTATTAAATAAATGCAATTGAATTTCGCAAAGATTGAATCAAAGGCCATGGCAAAATACACAGTTTATCTAGTTATATTTTTTTAATCCTTGCGTAAAACGGATACTTAAGTAAATGTTTTTCCCAGTATTTTCGCGCAGTGCAGAGGTGAGACTAACTAGAAGTAAAGCCAGATAAAGACCACTTTAGAGTGGCTGGCAACAGCTCCCGGAAGAGTCAACAATGACGAAATGACAATGACTGAATGACAAACGAAGAAATCGAACCGAAGAACCGTACAAACGGAATTACAAATAAACAGATGTAAAGTGTGAAAATTTAACAAATTAAGTGCGTGTAACTCTCGAATACAATTGTATCTGCGATGTGTGTGTGTGTGGAGAGAAGGGCAATTCAGGGGAAAATTCTTCGGGGGCGTGGTTATTAGGCCGTGAAATTAAGTTCTGACGCTTAAGGAGGTACACATCTGCCAAAATGGTATATTTACAATAATAATAATAACGCAAAATAAACAAGTTAAGATCAAATGATGTACTTAACAAGAAGGATCATCAATAAGATCATAGATATACAATAAAAAGCAATCTTTTAAAAATTATATATCAAAAATATAAGAATCATCAACAAGACTTCCTTGAAGAGATGAACTAAACAACTTTTTTAATACAGAAATCAAAACGATTAGATAAATTCCAATTGCAATTTGTGGTTAGTTCTCAATGAGTTACGTATTGATTTTCGTACCGAAACCCATAAGTTTTAATCCATAACTGGAGCTTTAATCTCTTTTAATGAAGCTCCACTGGCCATCGCATTTTAATGGATGCTCGTGCCAACTGGAGTTTGCTAATTTCACTGAAAATTATGCGCTTAATTAGCGATACACACAGATACACACACACACACACAGACACAGGGAGACCGAAATCGTGCCTCGAGTGAAGTGTGTGTGAGATTTAACACTTTTCTGACAGGACGGCTGCCGCTCACTCACCGCCCCTGCCCCCTACCACGCCCCTCCGTCCGTCCCTCCCTCTGAGCGAACACTTAGCGAAATCAGTAATGCAATTCTGAAAATTTAAGGGCTTAAATAATATGGTTCAACTTTTCCCTTGTTTGGACATTATAACTTGAAATAGAATGTCCACTGCCTATAAGAAAATTATTATTTTCAAAAAATATATTATTTCATTCCTAATTAATCTGCTGAATAGATTGAATAATTGAGAGTTTTAGCATCAAATGATTTGTTAAATTGAAAGCTTTTAAAAAATGATTAAGTACTAAAGAATTTCTTATAGCAGGTTATTAATTAATTTCACCTGACTTAAATGGAATTGAACAAGCTTTTTCTACTAGCTCTTATTATATTATATTTCTCATTTTTAAAGCGATTTTTGTGAGTGCAGGAGTGTTATTAATAAGCTCGGACCCCCGTAACCTCCCCTCGGCCCGCATCCCCGCCCTTTGTCATGTGCTTAATCGTGTCGTTTCATTGTTTTAACTCCGATGAGGACGCAACTCAATTGCCAACCCCTTTGAGCTTATTAGTTGCGCCTACGGGTGGGCAAAGGGACACAGGACGAAGGACGAAGTACGGTGCACGGAGCTCGGAGCACGGAGCAAGGAATCCAGGAGACAGATGCGGTTGCCACTTGGCTGCACCCGTACGGCAGATGCAACAGAGTGCTCAACGCCACAGAGCCCCTTGCCCCCGTACTCCCCCTAATTAGCCGCATCTCTTCGCTTTTGTACCCATTCGAAGTAACTCGCTGGCAAAGTGCAACTAGAATATGTTTTTCTTGCTTGATTCTTATTTACAATAAAGGCAGTTTACAAATGTCTAGGGATGCTCAACTAAAACATAAACATTTAAAAGTTCACTTTAGATGAATTAATCAATTGGTTTTTTTTTTGTTGCCATATTAAATGTATTTCGTGTAGAAAAATAAAGTAAAATATAAGAAATAAAAAATAAGCAATATTTTGGTAACTAGCAGGGAACTATAAAAAAAAAACTCAGCTATAGGTTAAATATTTTAAGCACAACAAGGAGTTCGGGGATCATAGCTTCAGTAATAAAGTAAGAACAAACTGAATGTGGGGCCATATTATTTTTGTCTGCTAATAGAAACCTACACCTGAGAGGTATGGGATTACTAGGGGATCAATTGGCCGGCTCACTCACCTGCAAACTGGGCTCCGAAGTGCTGCTGGAAGTGCCCCCGGAATTCGTGGGGCGTACTAAATCCGGGCGGCAGGAATCCCCGGAGATAGGCGGCCGCCGCCAACGTGGTCATGTGGTGATGGTGGGCGGCCGCCGCGTTACCCGGATCCGCTGCAGCGGCATATCCGGCGGCAGCGTAGAAGTTGGCCGGATTGAAGACGGGCAGTTGGCAGTGGGCGGCTGCTGCCGCCGCTGCCGCTGCAGCCGCCGATAATCTGGATACGTCGGGCGATATGGACCGGGAGTCCCTCAAGCCGTCTATAACCTGCTGTTGCTGTTGCTGCAGTTGCTGTTGTTGTTGCTGTTGCTGCTGTTGCTGTCCGGCCGATATCGAGCCATGGGCGGGCGTACTCGCGGCGGGCGGGGGCGTGGCTGCCGGCGAGGGCGGCGCCTCTGCGGGCGTGGCACTGGCATTATTATTCTGCTGCTGATAGGCGCCCAGTCCCAGAATCTCCTGAATGGCGAAGGGCGTTCGCATTTTGGTGGCCTGCATTTTTGCCGACGGTATCTTGCACTTTACTATGTGATTTTGTTGAAGTTCTAGTTTTTCGTAAAAGTTGGAATTCCCAAGTTTCTATTTATTGCACACTTTCATGGCAGCTGGCAAACACACGCACACGTACACAGGAAAAAAAGTTCACTCACGCACTTAGGGTTCATATATATATATGTATTATTGTGGATTTTTATTTGTATTTTAGAGTGTGTTTTTGAGCGCTGGAGCGTTCGGTGCGGCGTTCGAAAACGAACTGAAATTGAAAAGCGAATTGCACGCCAGCAAAAGCGTCGCTTTTTGCGTCGCTGTTGACGTCGACGTCGCCGCCGGCGTCGCTGCCGGCTCCCACACACAGGGCAAAGCAAAAACAACTCGCAGCGCCATCTTTGCGGGCGAGAAAGGGATGGCAGTATGGGCGCCATGTGGTTATCTCGCTCTCTCCACAGCTATTCCCTTGAATACTTCCAATGCAGAGGGGTTATAGCCTGTCGTTCTCGCTCTTTCGCCTGGCAAACCCTATTTCGCTCTCTTTTCATCCTGGAAGTGACTCACGGACACTGTAAACACTGTGCGTGTGCGGTTTCCAAGTGTGCGTGTTAAGTTCATGGGATTTTATTTCGCTCAGAGTTCTTCGGTTTTTCGATTTCAGTTTGTTTTGCGACGCCAATGATGCTATTTGTCCTTATATATATAGATATATTTGTGTGAGAGTGAGAGAGTGCGTGTGCAATTGGAATTATCTTTTACTACGTTTTTCTTGTTTTTTGTTTAGTTAATAAAGAAACCTACATATTGACAAAGATTTGAAGTATTGGCTGGCATTGATAATAAGCAGTATTATTTGAAAGCCCCCCATTGTTTTCTAAAATAATTCCCGCCAAAATTGGGGTGTTTTAAACATTTGCGGAATATTGTTTTAAATTTTAATAATTGAACCAAATTGGATTTCCTTGGTATTTGCTAATGTTATGAACAAATTAGTTGGTATAATAATTTACATGGTAAAATTAACTATTAAAATCCTAATTTTTCTTAATAATGCTCCTCATACAAAACCAATCAACAGCTGTTTAATAGCTATTATGTTATTTCTTTGTAAGCTACTTTAAAAATATATCTTTATCAGATAATTTCATTGGGCTTATGTTTCGAATTCACACTTAATTACTTGGCTTAATAATGTTTTATTTAATATCGCTTTAATAGGCATGTAATCAAAAATAATTTTTTTTTTTGTACCATTAATGAATTAAAAATGTAAAAATGAAATCTGCACAATCAATATCTTACCAGTTAAAGTCTTACTTTCATAACTCAAGCTACCATCTGGCACCAAAATCAATTCGAGCTCTGAAGATTTGGATTTGTATACTTTATGTTACGTATACTTAATCTCTTGAAATAGAAGTTCGATTGTTCCAAGTGTTTGCCTTTAAAAAGAAGGAAATTAATAGAATAGACTAAAATCAAATTAGAATTTTACCAAAAATGTCTTCACTTTCTCTTTAGCGTTTGGCAATTTCCCCGCTTGCTCTCTTTTCCCCTATTTTTCTCTCTGAAAATTACGCTTTTCCTGGAAGTTTTAAGTCCCCTGCGCTTTCCACGTTTGTCCCCAAATTGCTTGCATTGTTCGGGCCAAAGTTGGTCATGTTAATTAAGCTTCGCTAGCCGCCTCTCTTTCCCGCTCTAGTATACCCGTCTCTCTCTTATCGATTAGCTGATGCTGCTATCGCCGTGTCCCTCTCTTCACCCGTCTCCCTCGGGCCAGATTGCACTTGCAAACATTAATTAGTCGCATTGCATAACAATTGCATAATCAATATGCCATTTCAATTAACTGCTTGGTTAGCAATTAGTCAGCCCACAAAACCGCCCAAACCACGCCCCCTTTTCCGCCCACGTGTTTCCGTTCACTGTGTTTTTTTTTGGGGCATATCTGTCGGATATTTTAAGTAATTAGGACTAAGTAACTTAGACTACACGCTGAAAAACATATGTGAGAATAGCTATTTTGGGGTTCTTGGATTCGAGATGTCTAAAAAATGTATATATCAGATTGAAAAATATTTCGATGTAGTTTTTGATGGTGTGTTCACCTGCTTATCAGATTTGAATTATTCTCTTAATTCCTCAGATATACGTATATAATGCACAACCTCTCCTATTTGGAATGGCTCCCATTTTAGTATGAGTCGTGGCTTTGATCTTAACTCTTCACCAGTACCATTAATAAAACCCATTAAAACTGACAATTTTGACAGCATTCCACTTGCATGACTTATTTTTCCGCTTTAATCTTCGCATTGTCAAGTCTCAAGTGGCAGTGTAAAATTGCACATGAAATAAATCTAATTGGGGAATGGAAAGTGGGTGTTTTAAGGTTCAGTGTGTGAGAAACATGTTTGTAAAATGATGTAGCTTAAAATAAACTGAATTACGGAATAAATAAAATAAATATTGTATTAAAATGCATTTTTTGTATAGTTTAGTCAGAGTTACTGAAATTTTATATATTTTAAATTGTATAAACTCGCTTTAAACTCCATGTTTTCGTTTCCCACAACAAACCCTGGTTCTGTGTTAAGCCTTTGGGATGTGAAGCCCATCCTTATGAGCTTGGAACCCCCAATCCCCCATGTAATTGGTTCGCAGCCATCCTCACATGACTTTCCAGTGAAACAGAAGTGGTCAGGACACAAAAGTTCGATAAAAGGAGTTTCCGTTTCGCATTGTCCTCGAGGACCCGAGCATTATTTCATATTTATAATGTAATCTGCACTTGAGCCTCAAAGAGACGGCGCATAAATCACGAATACAAATGGAGGCAGGTTTGGCGACTATTCCGAATATATATTATATATGTATACGCCGTTCTCCGTATTCCATATGCAGAGCGTCCACTTCATGGGCTAAAAGCCTTTGTATGCGGCTCCTTATGTTTTATTTTTTTATTTTTATTTTCAGCGCCGCCTTTTCTGTTTGATGTTCGACGGCCACTTCAGATGCATTTCGAATAAGTCGTTTTCATATGTTTTCCGCGGGTGTGGGCGCAGCAGTTCCTTGGGCTTTTGTTGAATGCAAATGGGGAATTTACTTCGATTATTGGTTGATTGATCCTTTGATCCCCCGATCTTGAGACTCACAAGTCCTGTCTCAACTCTCATTAGGCTAAAAGCCTCGGTGGCCAACTAATTAACCGAGGAGGCGAAAGGAACATCTGCCATCGATTGCATCGCTTCTGGCTTTTTGTTTTTGCTCACTTGTTGGGCCGTTAGGTCCCTGTGGGAATTGCACGGCATTGTCTCGGCCAACTCCGTAGCCGACCGCATATTAGCCCCCTTAATATCCCGGCATTTGCCATTGTTGTTGCTTAGCCAGCAAGGACATTGGCTGAAAAATCCTGCCATTTGACTAATGACAAAACCGCAATCACTCTACGGGACTTTTATTCGAAAGGATCTCTTGGGGTCCGGAGGACGAGGCCCTTAAAACTGATTTCCAGAGGTTCGGGATTCTTTTTATTTAACGAGCTATAGAAGTTTTACTCCATGAATAGACAAATATTTATTTTAGAGCTAATTAAAAGAAATAAGAACATGACTAACAATTTAAGGCTCATTGATTACTTTCTACGAAACCAAACTTTCCAGATCCCATATTATAATTTTTAATCACTTTAATCTTTTTAGGTTTATAAAAAATAAATTTCGTGAGAGTCCTTAAAGCTGCTTTTGTACACTAACATTTCACATTTATTCAATAAACTAATTGTTTTGTCAATTAGCATATTTAACAATGCAATTGGATAAGTATATATATGCTGTAACGCAAATGATTTCTGAAACTTTCTATTGCTTCTAAAAATTTTGTTTAAAAAGAAAATAAATGAAAAAAAGTAACCATTTAAGAATTCATAAAATAAAATAAAATGTGAACAACTTTTACTAAAAACTTTAATAAATCTCTTCATATTAAACAAACGAATAATATTTATTTGTGAAGTAATTGCAATATCCAATGTTAAAGCTAATCAGCGGAAGGGCTTGGAACATTTGAGAGGTCCCTCAAAATTCAGACTGTACCCGAAACGACACTCCTGTATCCTTGTGCCACATTATCCTGGCCATTGTTCCTTCGCTCCTTTTCCTTTTCGTTATCCTGGCTGACACGCTCCCAAATGGCGACGTCGCTTTGAGCCACTTGGAAATCGTTAATTTCATAATTACATGTTTCATGCACACGCTCCGAACTCCGAACTCCAAAATGGGGAATTCCGGGTTGCACATACACACTCGACTATGTGTGTGTGTATGTACAGTGGTGTTTGTGCGTGTGTGTGAGTGGCACATAAGTGGCAGCCAGCCAGAAAGCCAACACCATTTTGGCCATAATTTAGTTTTGCCCGTCCATTAGCAGTTCAGGCCACACGAAGTGGGCGGCGGCGGGGGGAGGGGCCTTTGTTGCAATGCCACTCAGCGGGAAATCAGCACCAGGATTGGGCGATGGGCGGTGGGGTGTGGGTGCTGGTTGGTGGTCAGGAACCACCTCGATGAGGAAGAAGTGGCCTCGAAGAAGCGGCCACAACAAGCCAGGCTACACATCAAACAATTCTGGGGAAAAGGTTATTTTGTACACAAATAAATTATTTTATTTTTACAATCGATTGTTACATTTTTGGCCAATTATTAATATAATATGCAAAATATCACACTTTGAAATTAATTTCAAAATATCACACTTTGAAATTAATTTCAAAATATCACATTTTGAAATTAATTTCAAGTATTTTTTTTGAACCCAAAGGTATTTACATTTCCAACATTTCAACATTTAACTTAATTTAATCTTACAAATCTTCCCATATTTATTATTAATTTATTATAAGACACATGTTTCTCAGTGTTTCAAGTGAGGCACCGTGGGAGAGAGAGAGGGAAGAAGTGGTAGAAAGAGGCAGAAACAGGGGCAGCGGCAACAGAAGAAGCAAAAGAAGGACGAGTGGATAATTATTAATAATTATCGCATGACGTGTTTTCGTTCTCAGTATTTTTTTATTTTTTTTGTATTTTTTTTATTTCTTGTTTTGCCATGCGGGGGTGTGTGCGTGTAAGGGTGTGTGTGGTACATATGTAACAGTGGTGTAAGTGGTTTATATAATTGGTCAACTTCTGCACCATTCCGTTCCGAATTTCCCCTTCTCTTTGGCCACTTGGCTTATTCTTGCGATTTCTTTC